CCCGTGCCTGGTGGAAGCCCTGCGGAGTCCTCCGGGTGGCGGAGATGGGGCCGGCGCGGCGCTCGCAGAGCCCGGCCTCACGGCTGGGGGAGCAGGTAGAGGGCGGGCCGGGCTCTGACGCTGTGAGGCGCGGGCGCTCGCAGAGCCCGGCCTCACGGCTGGGGAAGCAGGTCTGGAAGAGGACGTCTCGCTGTCGACGAGGAAGTCCGGTCCGGGGCGTAACCTCGCTCCATACCCGTTGGGCCCGCGGCTGAGCCGTGAGGAGGGTCGGTCGCGCTAGCGTTGCGGCCGGCAGAGTCATCGGTGCTCGAGCTCGGTGGAGCGCATGGAAAGCTTTCTCCGAGGCGGGATAATCCTGCCCGGCGGTGCCGGGGGAGCTGGTCCGCCTCGCCGTGCTCCGCCCCTCGGGTTCCAGCCAAGCCCCCAGGTCGTCAGAGGGGCGCCCGGCTGAGTCCCGGCCGCTGGCCCACGGGCTGCGTCTGGTCCCGAGCGCAGGGCCGTGGACTTGCGCGCCTGCAGTGGGGGCTCGGACGAAGAGCCTGTCCCCGTGGTGCCGAACAGGGAGCGATGTGCGGTTTTGTCCGTGCTTCGTTCAGCCATCAGAGCAGTCGCTCTTTTAGTGCTAAAGTATGTGTAGTACCTAGCGAAAGACTAGTTCGGTCAGATTTGGACACTTTTTGTACACAAAAGCTAAGAGGAGAAATCCTGTGTCATAGCTATCAGCTATGGGCTTATTAGCATGCAGATGCATTTTCTGTCCTCATCACCGGTGATCTTCTCCCAGAAAGATGTTAAAATGCAACTGCTTTCCAAAGCGAGGTCTTCTACTGCTTTGACCGCTACATCTGGATTACAGAAGCTTTATGTTGTATGAGGCTGTGAACCACACTAGGTTTATTTTAAAAGGTAATGGGGATATGCCAGAGCATATTATGTGTCTGTTTAATTCCCTTCTTTGCACCCATGTACAGCATCAGTTCAGTTTATTTAGCTCTTTCCAAATATCAGCAGTCCTTTTCCTAGGCAAGGAAGGTGGCTCAAACGTTCTGGCTTGGGAACAGCTGGGCAAGGATATGTGTGAAAAATGAATTATGGTTTAGGGTAGGTATTTTTGAAGAGGAAAAGTGTGTTTGAGCCTATTCATATTACAGTGATGAAAGGACAGATTCATGGTTTTGAGCCCCTCTTGCAAAATATCACATGCTGGGGCTGAATTGAATACCTTGAAGCCAGCCCTGAGTATTGACATGGAGCGTGCTGATGACAAATGATTGGCTACGGAATGCTCTTCATTATTCTGACTGTTCATTCCAGTCAGTCCTGGCTAACAGGATTTTTACAGAGAGTGGGAAATGCCTCTAGGGGAAGCCTCCATTTTGATTGCTGGGCCTAACTCATCTTAATTCTGTTGCTCCTGAGTTTGCTGTCAGGTTTTTGAGATGTTAAAGCATATATTTTCCAGATTTCTGTGCAGGATGCTTTTTCGCTAAGAGTCTGGAAAATAACTCGGGTTTTCTTGGGGTTTGGTGCTAAATAAGTTTGACTGTGGGAAGCATACATTCTTACAAAGACAGAGCACACAATTGAAGTTCCCTTTCTTGATAATTAGAGATTTTAAATACATGTCAAATGAAATGCAATAGTCAAGGAACCAGAGCAGTTGAATGACTTGCCTATACATTTCTTTGGGCATGAAGTGGGGGGTGTGTGTGTGAAATGTTTATTTCTTCAAAGCAATAGGTAATAAAAATGCTTTTGAAAGTTAAATAAATGTGTAGTATATGTAATACACTTGAGTACGATCCATAGATTAGAGTGAAATTTCAACACTCGTTCAGTTCACTTGCTTAGTGAACTCAGTTATGTTTTGATACCCAGGTAGGCTAATTAGGCATAGCAGTAGAAAATATGGGGTGTAAAACTCAGGTGACTATTGAGCTTAATATTTCAGTACATTGTAGAGAAACTCAGGAATCTAGAAAATACTAAACTGGTATATGCTAATTTGCCATGCAGTACTACGGTATTTTCAGGCAGCTAATCAAAATAAAGTTGAATCAGAAAACGATCAAGCTTGTGTCACGCGATCAAAATTTCAAGAGATTTATCTACAAATAGAAACACAAGGAACATCCTTTATTGCATTTAGCAAAGAGTTCGAGTATCCCACATTTCTTTCTAATCCTTTTTGTGTGCTGTTATGGCTGTTTATTTTTCTGATTAATTTTATGAGCATGAATGAAATTTTAAATGCCCTGGAACGCACAAAGTGTTTCATCTTGGACTGGCAATTATAAGCATAGATTCAGTTTTGCAGTTTGAAATGAAATTGCTCTGGAGTCATTTGCTCTCAGTGACAAGAAAAATCAGCAACAAAAGCATCTAATGGAATTTTTGAGCAATGGAAGTAGCCTTATTTGTTGTAGCATCCTTAGTACCCATGACCAAGGATGATGGAGTGACACTCCTCCTAGCTTTAATGAGTTGCATGTAATTGTAGCGTGGTCTGCATCAGAATGCTGGGGGATGTAGATTCCTTCGAGGTGTGCTTTTAGGAAGCCCCAGAACATCTTGTCGCGATGGCGTCTTCCTGCATGCTCTCTCTATTTCTCTGCATATCGTGTTTATTGGTGCTTTTAGACATCCATTCTGCAGCATGCTTTTTTCTTTTCTGTCTTTTCAGACAGTTACTTAGGCCTTGTAAAACTGTCTGTCTTGAGAATAGGATAGGGAAGCATCTGCTCTCTTCAGCATCAGCTTTATCCAAGATACCATATGTTATTAGATAACATAATATTTTTCATGTTGTTACTTGTGTAGCAGAATAACTGCAGGACTCTGCCTAATTCAGGTTAAACTGAACACTTGAGAGAAAGATGTAGTAGGAATTTACTATTTTTACATGATTGCCATTTTTCTCGCATGCTTGAGCTTAGGTATTATCTTTGCTCATTTCAGGACTGCCTCTGAATCGCAGTCCAGAAAGAAGAAACAATCGTGTTGATTTAAGTTGAACATTTGTCTCTAAGATTAAGAACAAAGCCATGCCAGTGCTTTCGGAAGACTCAGGTAACTAATCTGCATGCTTTCAACAGACCAGTGACTGAAATCTTAGTGTATGTGTTTCACACAGGAAATGAATTCGAATTGGAGTTACATAAAATAGAATTAAGATAGTTCAACTAGATTTCTTAGCAATTACCTAAAAGAAAACAAGGAAGGTGGAGTATAAATGGTGGAAATGAATAAAGTTAGTCAGATTTCAGGAAATACATAGTTTCATAAGAACCCTAGAGCCCCTGAATATATGCTGGTAGACAGGCTCCTAGGGACAAACTTGGACCTCTCAGTGTAACACTGGCTTCTATGCATGCTTATTAAAGATCAGCCCTTCTATCTCTGCTGCTTGCCGTGTCACTTCTTAATATTTTCTGAATAGGTGTTAGTAAGCTTTGTTAATATTCTTCTGTTTGACTTTAAAGACAGTGATTCCACTCAAGGCTTCCTAACCAGCTTCTCCAGTATGCTACCCAGGGTGAAGTCATGTACGCTAATGATACTGAGTTTTAAAGCAGAAGTGAGTTTGAGTCTCCTGGATCCAAATGCGCTTTAAAGTTCATGGAGAGAATAGCCAAAGGAGCAGATTTTAGCGCCCACCCTTTTTTCTTTTTTGTTTTTTTGTTTTGTTTTCCAGTCATGGTCCGCCAGGAAAAACCTGACGTTTGTCTGGCCCTGTGCACTGCAAAATTGGGATATTGATGATTTAAGCACTTTTTAGAAAACTAGCCACAAGCTTTGCTTCCACTGCAGTGGAAATCTGCACCAGTCCTTTCCTCCTCTGGTCAGGCCTGACTTCTAACAGGTGCCTCAGAGGTAGAAAGGGCAGGATAACACTTGTAAGCAAAGTTGCTTGGGAAGTAGAGCTGGTAACTGTGTAGCAAAGGAGGTAGTTCAGTCATTTTGTGAAGTCAGCTGTGGCACTCTAATAACTTCAAATTTTGTTAGGGCTAGCTGTTCTAGAAACAAAGGGTAATTGACATGAAAGGGGAAACTTCAAAAGTAATGTCTTTAAATATATATATTTCTTTGGTAGCTTTTGCCTTAATATGATATATGTTATATCTTAAGCTGTGTTTGCCACTTAAGAAGGAAGCGTTACAAAATGAGTGGAAGATAAGCACAAACCTCTCTGCAAACTTAATGATCACCAAGATGGTACCCAAGTAAATGTAGCTGATGTTAAGTCTGCAATAGAAGGTCCCATGAGACATGCTATCTACAAAGCTTTTGTTCTGTCTTGAATCTAAATTTAGGATTGCATGAAACTTTGGCCCTTTTGACATCTCAGCTAAGACCTGATTCAAATCATAAAGAGGAGATGGGATTCCTTAGGGATGTCTTCAGTGAAAAGAGTCTCAGCTACCTGATGAAGGTAAAAGTTCATTTATGAACATACGTTTTCTTTACAGGTTACTCATTATCTGTTCCCTTGATTTATCTATTGTTTACTTTGCCAAAGCTTTTTTTTTTTTTGTAGAATTCCATGCTGACCAAAGCATGTATTTATTTAAGCAGAAGAATTAAGAACATTTGTTGACAGTTAACATATTTTGTTCAGAAAAGACATTTCTGCCTTGATTGCCAAAATGCAGATACAGTGCCCCGTAGTTAAAAAGCAGTGTGAGATGGCTTCATTTTTTCCCTTATGCTGCTGAAGTCTTAACAGATTTTCTGGCTATCTGTGAAACTAACATGAGCAAAAACAGAACTAAGAGACTCCTAAACAAAACAAAAATAACCCCAAGAGAGGTTATTTTTCTGACACTTATCTCAGAAAGATTATATTCCTTAAATATAAAAATATTCCAGTGTAGGTATATTTAGGAAGTTTTGTATCTCTCTGTAGTAATATACCTGAATAATCTTTTTCAGATTCATGAAAAACTCCGTCATTATGAAAGACAGAGTCCAACTCCTGTTTTACATAGTGCAGCAGGATTAGTTGAAGATGTGAGTAAAAATTCTTGTTTTCCTATTATTTAACCCTGCTTTTCTAACAAATCAAAGCTTTGCAATTGCGCTATACGTGTACATATTTCTCATCTTCCACAGCTGTTTTTGGAATCTGTTGGCTAGTTTCACTCATGATTGATCAAGGAAATGAGAGCTTAAAAACACCATGTCATTAAATGTCCAGTGAAGACAGACATAGGCAGGTAGAACAAAAGGATGTTATTAATGGCCTTCATAAGGGAGAGACTGCAAAAAGGATTCAGTCCTTTCTTGACAATAGACTATCCCAGCTAAGCATTCAGTCTTAAGGACTTAAATCCATTACAACCCAAGCAGCATTGCTGTTCACGTAGAATGGTTTGGATTGGAAGGAACCTTGAAAGATCATCTAGTCTAACTGTGCTGCCATGGGCAGGGCCACCTTTCACTAGATCAGGTTGCTCAAAGCCCTGTCCAGCTTGACTTTGAACATTTCCAATGGTGGGGCATCCACAACTTCTCTGGGCAGCCTGTTCCAGCATCTCGCCACCCTCATCGAAAAAAAAATTCTTCCTTATATCCAATCTAAATCTGCCCTCTTTCAGTTTAAAACTGCTGCCCTTTGTCCTGTCACTACAGGCCTTGGTAAAGAGCTTTTCTCCGTCTTTCTTTTAAGTCCCCTTTATATATTGAAGGGCCGCAATAAGGTCTTCCTGGAGCCTTCTCTTCTCCAGGCTGAACAACCCCAACTCTCTCAACCTTTCTTTGTAGGAGATGTGTTCCAGCCCTCGAATCCCTTTCATGGTCCTCCTCTGGATGCGCTCTAACAAGTCCATGTCTGTTTTGTACTGGGGACCCTGGAACTGGATGCAGTACTCCAGGTCGGGGGGGGGGGGGGGTTGTCTCATGAGAACAGAGCAGAGGGGGAGAATCCCCTCCCTTGACCTGCTGGCCACGCTTCTCTTTACACAGCCTGGGATATGATTGGTTTTCTGAACTGCAAGCACACATTGCCGTCACGTATCTGATTTTTCATCCACCAGTACCCCAAGTCTTTCTCCGCAGGGCTGCTCTCAATCAACTTATCCCCCAGTCTGTTCACAGAGCAAAGTTGTATCTTAGATTTGTTTGTAACGTGCCACGTGCCTGAAAAAGTGAAATTTATACTGCCTTTGACAGCTCTTTACAAGTGGCTTGCACCTGTTTCCTTCGAAAGCATAGCAAAGGGCTGTGGAAGGTTTGGGAGCTAGAATTCCTCCCTTTGCAAAGCCAGGAGACCCCCCTGCCCCATCTTAACCTGCAGCATACCCCCTCTCCCCTTTCCCACAAATAGCCTACTGCCTCCATAAAAGTTTTGGCACTGCTGCCTGTCAAGTCATACAAAATTACCATCTTCTAAACAGCAGAGGAGAAGTTTTATACAGCACTATATGACTTCCCTATCTAGAACCCTTTACAGGGAAAGGAAACCTCCCTTGCCTCAACCCCTTGTCCCTTCCTCCTCTCTCTCCTCCCACCCAACCAGCCTAGTGCAAAAGTGCTTCCATTATTTCTCTAATCTTTTGTTTGGAAGGCCTGAGACTCCACAGCATATTTTGGTATCCAGGCTTTGCAGGGGAACGAGGGAACTTCTGTTGCATGTTCCATGTGGGTAATGCTACCTGGTTACAGAGAGGATTAAACTCCTTTATCATAGTACAAGCACAAGAGTGTTGTTTCACATATCACTTACAGATTCCATATAGAATTTAAAATTTCAGAACTTGTTCCTGAAATTATATTGGCGGAATCACTCTTAAAATGTATGTTTAGGGGCTAGGATCCTGATTTCTGATTATGTCTTCCTGCACTATCTAATAAAAATAAAATAGATGAAGAAGCTTTCATTTCTTTTAGGATTCATGCACTATTGATTGGCATTGTTTTTCATCTGTGTACACTCCTTTGAAGGACGATTGAAATTAGCAAACACAGAACACTCGCTTGCAAATATATGATCTTGTTTGGTGGACTCCTTTTATTTTGAGGTTGTTAATTTTTATTTTAAAGGTAATAGAAGAATTGCAGACTGCACCAGTGAATAATGAAGAAAAAGAGCTACTTCAGCTGTTGTCAACACCACATCTCAGGGTAAAAAACACACCAGAGACATTAACAAAATTCCTTTGCAGAATTCCAATAGAATGTTTTATAATGGAAAAGTTACATTAGAGAGTCCCTAAGAGAAAGGAAAAACCTCCTACAAACTGTAGTTCTGTTCCACTGTGATTTCCTGCACAGGCTTTAGGATGTGAAGGGGATTGAGAAGACGCAGCGTAGGCCTTTCATGCATAATGCACCATGTTGTCTTCCCTTCCCTCCTTAATATTTTCTGAGGGAGCAGAAAAGAAAAGGATACATTTCTCAACTTCTTGCTTTCCATAGTCCACCTCCATTCTCTAAGTTTATTTAGGCTGAGCTTTGTTAGTGCCTGGATTTACTTTAAATGTCAACATATACCAATGTATAGTTTACATGATGGGTAAGATAATTGCTAAATCTTTTTGGGGGGATTTATGGTGAGGGTGGGAAGGGAGAGGTTTAAGTTCGCTGTAATGTTGGAAACATGAGAACTGGAAACTGTAATATTACCCCATTACATTACTGTTTCTTATTTCCTTTATGCAGGCAATGCTTGTAGTACATGACACTGTAGCACAGAAGAATTTTGACCCAGTCCTTCCACCTCTTCCCGATAACTTTGATGATGATTTTGATGAGGAATCAGTGAAAATTGTTCGGCTAGTGAAAAATAAAGAACCCTTGGTACATATAAGATAACCCATCTCTAGTCATAAAACTCTGTAGTGCAAAAGCGTTATTGTGAGTATGGAGGAGATATACTTGGAGATGTCGTCAGATAGTCTGCAAAAACTAGCAGTGTTCTGAAGCTAGTAAAATAACATAAAAAGAACACTTTAGTAAATACACCTTCACAATTTTGCGTGGGATGCTTTGTAGGCATGGGTTTATAACGCCAGTTAATGCAGGGAACACGATCCCTGAGGAAACTGTGTATGTTGAAGCAATTATGCTTATTATACATATTAATTCTTTTCATATTGTAGCTAATAGTCAATGAATTAATACCTTCATTTGCATGAAAGTCAGTGATGTATGGTAGGAGTATGTTTGATAGCTGTATGTAAACATTATATTGACATGGTACTAATTTTATACAAATGGAAATGGAAGAATTGATTTCCTAAGAAAAAACAATTGCGTCTGGGAAGAAATCTGCTAAAGTGCTTTTTGTGTATGACAGTAGGTAGTAGAAGAGAGCAGTGGTTTAATTCCTGATTAAAGCTTTATATTGCCAGCAAAGGTAGGAGAAGAAAAAAAAAAAAATCTAATTACTTAGCTTTCCTTGCTTTTATACGTACAAGTGCTGGCTGTATTCTATAAAGATTCAGAAGACACATAGAGAAAGCTTGTTGTAAGAAATTCCGTTTTGCACACTTGAGTGACTTTGATCACCACAATAATGTAGGTAGTGTAAGCACTCAGCAAAGTCGGCAGAAAGGAAGGTGTGTACACCTTCCCACAATCACATGAGATGGGCACAGGCAAAAGTTCAATAATGGTGGAAATTGTCAAGGAGGAAGACAAAATTTATAGAACAAATTAATTCCAGTTTAAAAGACACATTAGCTTACATGTTATTTCACCGCTTACTTCTAAGCAAATTTTTTTTGGGTTTTTTGGGGGGGGGGGGGTATGTTTTATTTCAGGGAGCTACCATCAGAAGAGATGAGCATACAGGAGCTGTGATTGTAGCAAGGATCATGAGAGGCGGTGCAGCTGATCGCAGTGGTAAATTTCTGAAGAAAAGGGGATTTAAAATTGCATTTGTAAACTGTTTTAAAATTTCCAAAATTATGCATGCACACACGTACTGCATACACATACCTAGAGCGATAATCTCTAACCGAATCTGATGGTTATTCGTTCCAAAACCAGTCCTTTGGACACAGGTGTTTAATATATGTATAGACTATTTCATAAAAAAAGTAACAGCCTATCGAAATCCTAATAGGCAACTGTTAAATGTCAAGTCTTAACTAGTATGTAGGTGCTCTGTGTAGTCAGTGGAGGGAGGTGGACATATTGCTGGAGAACAAATAGTCCCAATGAGCTTTAGAATGGGATAGGTCACTGCTGAAATTGCCTTTCTTCCTTGTTGACTATAAAGGGAGCCTACATGGTAAGCTCACTTGACAACTGAATTTCAGGTGTCTAGTGGCCGGAGAGACTTCCGTGCGTAGGCTGTCATTCAGCATGCTTTCAGGACCTACAGGGTTAATTCATGCAGTATTTGACCTTCCATTTTCTAGAAGGTGATCATCCAGATTTTATTAAATAAGCTGAATTGGCCTTATATGAGATTTATAGACTCCAAGCCTCATGCACTTTTTTTAATATACAAGTAATACAATCCCAAAATTAATGAATTACTGTGATGAAAAAATACTAGCTAATTACAGCTTTCTTTTTGATTGTTACCATTCTTCAAATTAGTGTAATCTGATAAATGTAATGTGAAATGACTAGAGTGTGCACTTAGCATTTCTGTATTTCATCAGTAATCTATTAATTTAATTAGATACGTTTTCCTCTAAAATAGCCACTAGGAAAAAATGCCAACGGGGGTGGGAGAGGTAGGTCTAAGCTTTAGAAGAAAGAAAAGAAAAGAATGGTTTTTACCTTTAATCTAGTGTCTTGGTTTATTCAGTGTATCGTGTTGTTTTCTGTTTGCTTTACTGAGAAATTCTTTATTAATTACATAATTAATTCTTTATTAGTTACATAACACAAGTACAACATTTCTTACTGAACTGGATAAACAAGCCTAAATCTTCTAAGGGCCTCTTCATGGGTTGTTAAAAAAATTAGTCCAACATTCTTTCTGGGACTGTGTAGTGTTGATCTGTCAGTTGATGGCCATGTCATTCCTGCCTTTATAGTCAGCAGCGTGTCTCCTGACTACAAGATTTGATCATCCTCATGAAACTATTCCAGTTCTGCATTCTTAGTGCTGATCCAAATATAGAGGCAGTGATTTTCCAGAGTATCTTGCCACATATTCTCTATCTCCATGCTGGTCTATGAGACTGTGCAGCATGAAAGAAAATGCCATATGGAATAAGGGCGGGAGACTTCAGAGCATGTTGCCAACAGAGGCACCTGGCTCTAGTAGGAAATCCATTAAGCTGGGGGAGGGAGGAGATGGGGTACATGCTATTGACTTAGGTTGGACATCAGAGGAGTGGTGCTTTCCAGTCTGTAGACTTATTTTAATTTACTTACTATCTTTTCAGGTCTTGTCCATGTTGGAGATGAACTAAGAGAAGTCAATGGTATTACTGTGCTTCACAAACGACCAGAAGAAATAAGTCAGATTTTGGTCTGCACTGATTTTAATTTCAAGATCTTTTCTGTTGAGTGATCTAGTAATTACAATAGATGATGAAATTTAACCATGAGTTTAAAATACATATAGAGCTCAAAGATGCAATCCCTGCTGGTCTTTGCATTAAGAGTTTTGCTTCTCCCAGTGGATTAGTCTTCTCGTTTTGACTTTAGAAACTGTGATCTGAATCGGTACCAAGTAAGATACAAATAGAAAGTTACATGTTGCTCTGTCAAGAACTTACCTTTCATGCTTTATGACAAGCAAATTGCAAATTAAAAGTGCATTCCTAGAAGATAAGCAGTGTATTCATAATACAGTGTGTTAGGAAGCTGAAGAAAGTCTCGGCTGTGTGTCCAGTAGAGCTGTCAGTCTGTTCTTTACCAGCAGATTCCTTGCAACATTAGCAAATTCTTGCGTCAAGCTTCTCTAATATTAACGCCCGCAAATCTTGGTAACTTTCTAAATCTCCAAATCTGTGGTCAGCCTGCTGCGTTGCAGAAAGTGTTGTAGCTCTTACGCTTATTTGTCTCTGACTCCCCTCTTGTGGCTTGGTTTCCCCTTGTCTTGGTGTGGAGTGAAGTTAGGGATACAGTAAAAAGAACGGCAACACTAGGAGACTGAAGTATCTGGCATCAGTTCCATCACCTAATTTAAATGTAGATCAAAATAATCCTGAATAAGGAGGGTAACTGCTTTTAACTTGGGGGAGGGAGGATCAAAATTGTATTTTGAAATACTGTGTAAAGTTTTATTTGTGGGGACCCTGGGATGCTATTCATCTGTCCTGTTTTAAATGCCTGCAATGTAATAGTTTCTTTTTCATGTTTTATTTTTTGAGGAAGAGCTACAAATGTTTGTCCAAGCTGATTGTCCGGGTTTTCTTTTTAATCTGTGCAGAATAGCAGGCTTCTCTAGAACACAGTTCATCTCATCCAAAATAAGGCATCTAAAATAGATCAGATAAACTATTCTAGAGTTCCAAAGCACCTAGAAGTGCTTTTTAATTTACTATAACTCATAATTGAAATTTACTAGCAAAGATTTTTAGAGTGAAAGTAGATGTTTACTTTGTAGATGTTTACATTTCACCCTAAACCAGTTAGCCACTATGTGGGAAAATACAGCAATATTTTTCAAAGGAGCACTTTAAAGTGGTTGGTCTGCAAAAACTTAAGTTAGTGTCGTACTAAAAGCCACAGAAGTATTTAATGCCCTGTGAACCATAATCCAGAAATTAATGCAGTTGCTAAAAGCAAATGAAGGAATTTTAATGCAGGTCTTATTATGTTCTAGCCAAGTAGTTACTGTGGATTTCTCCATGGGGAGGACGCTGTTGTGGAAGATTCATGAAACATCATGATAGTCTCTGTAATGAAGTTAAATAGTGGATTAGCTTGGCCTATTAAAGCTGAGAAGAAGAGACAGACGCTAGCTCATAAACTGGAACGTGATTAGTCTGCATTGTGTCCTTGTCCTGCTTTCAAAGTAAAAAACATTTCTCTCTTTCTTAGGCTCAGTCTCAGGGATCAATAACATTAAAAATAATTCCAGCCATCAAAGAAGAAGATCGTCTAAAAGACAGTAAGGTACGCAACTTAGTGAAATACTGAAGCATGCGTTTTCATATTTACACAATGCTGGCATCTCTGTAAATGCAAGATTTCTGCTGTTTCAGTGAGGAGTGTCACAGACCCATAATTGAACTAAAAAGATAGTAGAGCAGTTTCTTGTAAAATGCGGTGCCCTTTTATTCAATAGAATTACTTAGGTGACTTCTCTCTTCTTCATCATCTTGGCACACGTTCTTTCATAGCATTTCTGAAATCTAGCCTCTTCTTTTTATTCACGTAATTAAAATTGGTGTTCCTACCGGTCTCCTCTTACCATGACAGCTGCTATCTGTCCATTATCTCTGGGCATTTTGCCACTTGCTTGAGTCAAAACAGACCTATTTGCAAACAGGGCTGCATTCATCATTTGACCCCATTAGCCCACTGCAAACATCAGCATGCCTCTCTGAGTGCTTCATTTGCTCTCCTTAATCAGCGATGACTTACTGTTCGACTGGTCCCTTACAGGATTCCTCTGTCAACCTCTATCTCTGCTTCCCGGCTCTCAGTTGCCGAATTTTTCCTTGAAGCCCCGCAAATCACTTTTAAAAGTAGTTCTACTGTGATGTGTTAAATAGTGCTAAGATACAAATCCAAAGTTGAATAGTAGATTTCGATGCATTAAAGGAACTTTTTAAGGACAGTCTTTATAATCAGGCAACTTAGCCATAAATCCCTTATTGTTTTCTCCCTCCCCTTATTTTTTTTTTTCCTTTGTTGCATTTTGTACTTATGTAGACTGTGCACTGTGTTTCTTGGGACTTTGATCTTTGAGTTTCATGTTCCACAATGCCAATACGTAATGACTGGGTATGTACTTGAAAGTTAGTTTATTTTTCTGCATAAGTAAGTCAAAATACAGATGCAGCTTGCTAGGTTTCAGTATTTCTGAGTACCATAAAGCATAAATGAGACATGAAGAGTATATATAGTTAGCAGTGTAAGCACTGGGGAAGCCTTTTAAAGATAGTTTGAAATTCCAGATAGGACAAGAAGAAAGGATGTGTTACTTTCTTTTAAAGGTGTTTATGAGGGCGCTTTTCTGCTATAATCCCAAAGAAGACAGAGCCATTCCCTGCCAGGAGGCTGGGCTGCCATTTAAGAGACGACACGTCCTAGAGGTTGTAAGCCAAGATGATCCCACGTGGTGGCAAGCAAAGCGTGTTGGAGATACCAACCTCAGAGCAGGCTTGATCCCCTCAAAACAGTTCCAAGAAAGGTTTGTCAATGAAGATTACAGATTTTTTTTCACACATATAGTGTCATACTGGTTTTATGCTGCTTTTTTTTCACAGGAAAGGAAGGGCAGGATCATATAC